TAGGCTCAGATTTCCTGCCACCAACAGAGCAGAACTGAGAAGGTTCAGGCTGATTTCTAACCTGGGAAAGGGCCAAGCAGGGAGAAGCAGCAAAGCCTTGAGATTTAAAATGTGAAAACATAGGAAGTGCATGGATCCCCATGCTACTTTTTCTTCACACACCTCAATCCCACCTCCTGATCATTGGCAAGTCCAGGTGGATGTTAAGCGGATGAGAGCCTGACCTATGGGGAGAATCCCAGAATGATTTTGGTGGGAAAAGACCTTAAAAATCATCTAGTCCCACCTCCTGCCACAGGCAGGGACACCTTCCAATACACCAGGTTGCTCCAAGCCCCATCCAAAATCAAGGTGTTCTGTGGGATCGTGGGGTCAGGAGGTTTTTGGGGGCGAGGGGCTTGGAAGGAAGCAGCAGCTGGGAATGAGGAGCTGGGGACACTTGGGGTGGCCGTGAAACCATCTGGTTTGTGGCAGAGCCCTAACAGCAGGGAAGGGCTGGGGGGGTCTGTGCTGCTGAGTGCTCACAAAGAGCCCCCTGGAGCCAGGACTGCAGGACGGCAGGAAAATCCTGGCTCTGATGGGACGATGCTGCAGAGACACCGAGCCTGGGAGCACCGCGGCCGGAGCCGGAGCCTTCCCTGGAGCAGCTCTGCAGGAATCCGCCCTCCGCTCGCTGGCTTCAGGCAATTCCGTATGAAAAATCGCTTTAACCAAGTCTTGCAATAGCAAGGGTGAGCCCCGCAGCGTTGCAGTGGATCTTTGAAGACTTGAAAGTCTTCAAAGCTGCCTTGGTGGGGACACTGCACAGTCCCACGGCCCCATCCCGCCCTGTCACATCCCTCCCTTCCCTGCTCCAGCCTGGGATGCTCCTGCACACCCCATCCCTGCCACCCCTCTGATCTTCCAGCGCTCAGCTCCGCCTGTTTGCGCAGTGTTTAACCCATGCCCACCCCTCCCCATGGCTCCCAATTCCAGGATCACGATAAAATTCCCAACCTGCTCTGTTAGAGCATCGACTTTTCGGGGAGCTCTGCCAGCTGCTCCCTCCCATCCGCACGCAGCCCCGGAGGGCTCGGCAGAATTCCCCATCCCATGCTTCCCCTGCTGGCAGGAAGCAGTCTGGCAGACAGCATGTTTAGAGGAGACTGATGTCTCGGAGCCACCGAACCATTTAATTGCCAATAAACACAGCCCACATGTAAATAATTATAGAGACCGGGGAACTGTGTCGTCTTCCATGAAGGGAGGGAGCTGTCAGCCTGGAAACACCCCATGGCAAGGGGAGAAATTAAGATTTCTTGTTAATGCGGGAGGGATGAGCATCAGTAAACCTGCCTGGATATTTCCAGGTGTTGGTTCAGGCAAGGTGATGGCTCCTGATGAACTGAGAAGTACCAGGCTGTGCTTTGGGGTGAGTTTGAGGGTAAATATTGAAAATTCATCCATTTGCTTTGTTGCAACCCAGTGGGATTATGGCAATATCTTTTTTTTTTTTTTTTTTTTTTTTTTTTTTTTTTTTTTGCCACATTTTTGGGTTAAAGAGCTGCAAGCATTCTAGTTCAGAACTTTGGAGCTTTATCAACATCCTGCACATTCTGGGCTATGCAGAGCCCTTTGTTCCCCTGCCAGGACATACCATCCCATCCCATCCCCGCCCCTGCCTTGAGCAGGGACATCTTCCACTAGACTGGGTTGCTCCAATCCCTGTCCAACCTGGCCTTGGACACTTCCAGGGAAGGGGCAGCCACAGCTTCTCCAGGCAGCCTGTGCCAGGGCCTCAGCACCCCCAAAGGGAAGAATTTCTTCCCAATCTCCCACGCTGCCCTCTGGCAGTGGGAACCCGTGTCACTCCAGGCCCGTGTCCAAAATCCTTCTGCAACTCTCATGGAGCCCCTTTAGGCACAGGAAGGGGTCCAATGTTTCCCTGGAGCCTTAGGCATCCCCAGTGCCATCTCTCACCCCCTGAGGTTGCCCTGGTTCCATTCCTAGAGCGGGAGGGTGTCACCATGCAGAGCCCCTCACCGCCACTGCCACAGAAGCCGCCTGGATCCCGCAATTTGGCTTTTCCCAGGAGGTTGATGGTTCCTATGGCAACTGAGAGCCGCTCTGCAGCGCTTCCCTGCGTGGCAATCAGCGCTCACCTCATCCGTGGAATGAGCGCCCGTCACCCTCACACTGCGCGGCCTCGGCCGCATCCCGCTGGTCACAGCCGGGACACGGGCTGGAGCATCCCGGGGAGACAACCCCCCTGCCTGCGGGACCTGGCTGCAGCATCACCCCAAGTTCTCTGCTGCCAGGGGCTGTGGGGTGACTCCATCCATCCCTGCTGCAGGAAATGTCTGCCTCTACCTCGTTGCTCCCAAAATTGGATGTTAACCTGCAGTAAAATGATGCTTTGAGCGGGAGGGTTTTGGGGTGTCTCCTAGCCCTGCTCCATCTGTGGCATGCTGGAGAGTCCCAGGCAGTGCCACCAAGGCAGGGGTGTGTCTGTAGATTTTTGGGGACTGGCACAAGGCACCCCATCCCTCATCATCACCTTGGGGAGCAATGTTAAACTAAGTGTGGTAAATGCCAGATTTTTCCCTGAACTGGGGCATGATGACCGTGGTGTGTGACTAAGGAGATTGTTGGCATCTGCAGCGGGAGCTTGATGATGGATAAAAGAGATGAATGAGGAGTAAACCGGGGTTTAGGAAATCTTGGTTAATTTGCTGCAGCGAGAGCTTGCTACGCTCACAGAAATTAAAGTGTGAGCACTCACAGCAACGGAGGAGGAGGAGGAGGCACCGGGGAATACAGGATGAGTCGGAAGTGGGTACATCCATAAATCACCTGTGGTGCTTTCAATAATTCAACAGTGCTGGAAGATCCAGCAGTTCACAGAGAGGTGATGTCCATGGGAAAGTGCTCAGTCTGCCTGATGCAGTGGGATCCAGCCCCAAGTGTCCCAGGGTGGGTTGGATGGGGTTTGGAGCAACCTGGGCTGCTGGAAGGTGTCCCTGCCCACGGCAGGGGGTGGGACTGGGTGGGATTTAAGGTCCCTGCCATCCCAAACCAGGACTAATTCCAGGTCATTACTGTGAGCCTGAGCTGTATCAACTGTGCTTTTAGGCAAAAGAAGTGAAAATAAGCCTGATTTACTCGTGTACATGTCACAAACCTGCCTCTTTAACCAGAGCCAAGATCTGGGAAGAGACTGGCCACAGTTTGTACAGCCCATGGAATCCACGCAGAGAAATGCAAAAGGTATTTTGCAAGCCCTGTCAAGGAAATCAGAAGCAGTGGCTTGAGTCAGAATGTTATTCACAATAAACCAAGAAATAATGATAATAATAATGATGATAATAATATAAAATGAATCAGCAATTTCTAAGCTTTTTCCAGATCCACAAATAAAATTTGCCCAATGATCCTGGCTCAGTGGAAGAGCTTCTCTATTCTGGATTTTTATCATCACTGGAGATATCCAGACAGAACAAACAGAATAAGAAGGGGACTAAAAGGCAATGGAAAATTACCAGGCTAATTTTGTTTGCTGTGCCTGTTTTGGAGACAGAGGAGGGAATTTCTAGGAGTCCACATGAAAACAGTGTTGATCCTTTGTGTGCATTTAGAGTTGATCCTCATCTCAATTTATTCTGCAGTGCAGGACAAAGGGCCTCATCATCTGCAGCCATGGGAGAACTCTGGATGGGGACCAAATAATGGGAATAATACCTTGCTTGTAGGAAAGCTCTTTCAAATAATCATGTCTTGGGTGCTTTTGAGAGACCATCACTGGAATAATTTATATTATCTACCCCAATTATATTATCTGCCCCTTGAAGCTGTAAACACTTGAACAGGCTGACAAATATTTTCCCTTCCTGGGCTGTGTCCTGGCAGATGGGAGAGCTACAGGCACCAAATCCAGGTAGAGGAGAGGGTCATAAAATGGAATTGTTTAGGTTGGAAAAGATCTTTAAGATAATTGAGTCCAACTGTTATCCCAACAAGAGAGTTTGGGAGGAAAAAACAGTCTCGGGGAGAATATTGTGCAAAGCTCGTAATAACTGAGGATGATTTAACAAAAGTACCCCCTTTATACCCCCTGGTTCCTGGGAGAAAACCTTCGAGCAGCTTCCTGAGGAAAGCTCTGCAGAATCAGCCTTCAAACATGTTTTCCTCCCTCATTTATCTGATTAATTTGCTCTCATTAAGAAAACCAACCATGTTTTCCTTTATATATCCAGTTTCTGTGAATCACAGACTGCAGCTCCGGGATTTCTGTGTTTATTCTCAGAAGTCTCTCAGCCCTTAGTTCACTCTCCCAAAATAGTGTTTTCCCTTTTCCTGCAGGTATTCTGGGGAATGAGCAAAACATCTAAACAGGGGGACCTGAGGGTGGGGGTTTTCTCTCCCAGTGCTCAATAACTGCTAATTCTAGTCTAGTCTGGAGACATGGAAGAGGAAACCTCTTCGTGGATCACTTCTCTGGGATGGATATATGGATTTTAAATGATCCTGCAGATAAATGCAGTGATGGGAATGAGTGGGTGGTGGAGGTGGGGGGAAATAAAGGCTAAGAAGAGTAATTTAGGGAAACCTAGGGGTTTTAATGATGAGTGAAGTAATAGAGATTGTGATGGGATGAAATGAAGAGAGAAGGAATCAACATCAGCAGTGATAGGACAAGGGGAAATGGCTTCAGTCAGACAGAGGGCAGGATTAAATGGGATACTGGAAAGAAATTCTTGGCTCCAAGGATGGTGAAGCCATGGCACTGCTTGCCCAGAGAAGCTGTGGCTGCCCCATCCCTGGAAGTCTCCAAGGCCAGGCTGTATGGGGCTTGGAGCAACCTGGTCCAGCAGTAATCCCAGCCTGACCTCCAAGGATCTGCCTCTGCCCAGGACTGGGACAGAACGAATCACATCCAAGCTAGCATCTCCCTGGGATGTGGCTGAGCTGCAGTCAGGGGTTTCTGGGTTTTGTGGGATTCACATCAACACACACACAGCCCAAGCTCTTGAAGCCTTTATTACAGGAAGGACACACAGGGATCTTCTGCCTTGCTTGGCTTCTCTGGGATGAGCAGCCCAGGCCCAGGGAAGCTGCAGGAAGCCGAGGAGGGAGCTGCTCTGTGGGAACAGGACAGAGGTCACTGGCACTACTTTGGAGGGGTCCCTGTCTCTGCTGGTCAACCCACAGAAGATCACGAGTCCTTCTAGGGCCACCATGAGGGCTTCAGCCAGAAGGTGAGTGGGTGTAAGGGAATGAGGGGTGTAAGGAGAGTGGATGTGGGATCCTGTTGGGGTCCAGCCAGCTATGTCTGCCCTGGATGCTCCCCAGCTGCTGGCAGAAGCAGGGATGCTGGCCAGTGCCATGGGCAGGCTTTGTGCAGGGCTGAGGTCCTGTTGGCTGGGGGCTTTGAAGTCCTGTCCTTGGGCATGAGGAGCAGTGGGAGGTCACAGCTCGGCCCCACAGAGCAGAGCTGGGAGCTGCCATGGCCCTGAGCTGTGGTGCCTACAGTGGTGCTGGTGCCTGTGGCTGTTCCCAAGCGTTTCTCCTGGGAAATCAAGAGGTTAAAACCTAGATGGGTATTGGGTGTAAGGAGACACTGCCTTCTGCATGTGCTGCTTGCACAGAGCAGCCTGAGAGGCCACAGAGGCACTTCAGACACTGAGGAGCACTGACAAGCAGACCCATCCTTCATCTAGCAGCTTCTAGGATAGAACAGCCTGGCACTGGGATTCCCACCTCCACTGCAGGATCCTGAACGTGGACATACACCAACCTCAGCTTCCCTGGGAGCAGAATTTGAAGCATCATTCCCAGCAAACTCATCACTTGAGATCCTTTGAGTCCTATTTGGCCATGAAGAGCAACAATGTGCTCAGCTGCATCTGCACCTTTGCACCTTTGGCTGGAGAAATTGGGATGCCCTGTCTGGTTACAGGGGTGGTTCCTCCAGCAGGCCAAGCAGGTTATGAAAGTCACACCCATTCCAAACCAGCCACCTGCTGTCAGCAGCAACGTGCCCCCAATCTGCACCCGCAGAATGCACATTGTACTACTTTGTCTTTTCACCAGTAAGACACAATTTTAAAGGATAAATGCACAGCAATTTCATAGTTCCCCGTGCAAGTCGACCTCTTCCCGTGGCACAAAGTGCTGCCTGTTGCTTAGGAACAATCTATATTCTACACAATGAAGATGTGCGCTCTCCAAAGAGTTTTTTACACAATGGGAGTTTGCCTTGCTCAGACACCAACCCACCTCCTGCATAAACCACGGGGTGAAGTCTTTGTGCTCCAAATGTAGAACTGGACATCTACTACACCCAGCCATGATTCGGGATATAGGGATATGTCCCAGCCATGGTTTGGGATATTGGGCTATGCAAACCCAATCCCTCAAGGCCCTCCATCTAAGATAACCTGGACTGCAAAGCTATCTTGTCCGAGGTCCCGGTGGGAGCATCTGCCAGGGTGGAGCAGGTGTTGAAGCGGGAAGCCTTGCAGGACATGCTCCTGGAGCTCTGCTTCTTGCGGTAGAAGTAGCTGCTAAGGTGGAACCAGAACTTGTCGTGGAGGGAGGCGTAGATGAAGGGGTTGTAGCAGGCAGAGCTCATGGCGATCAGGTGGCACGAGACCTGGATGACATTGACGTACCTCTTGTCCAGGATGGTGAACTCCTCGTCGATGTCCCGGATGAAGTTGACCACCTGCAGGGGCAGCCAGCAGACAGCAAAGCAGACCACGGATATGGTGAGCACCCGGAAGGTCTTGTGCTTGGTCCTGGTCCACTTGGCCTGGCAGGGGTGGGCAGCGCCCGGCACATTCCTCCTGCGCAGGTGGTAGGTGATGGCACAGAAGGAGACGGACACGGCCAGCAGCGGGAGCATGTAGGAGAGCAGCAGCATCAGGCACGAGTACAGCAGCCGCTCCCTCTCCTCGTGCTTCCAGAACTCCTCGCAGATGATCATGTCGTGGCCGATGGCGTTGAGGTCCAAGTAGTGGGTGTGCAGTGAGGTGGGCACAGAGGCCACGATGGAGAGCAGCCAAATGCAGGCCACGAGGCCGACGCAGGCCCTGCGGCTGATCCGCCTGCGGATCGGGTACGCCACCACCACGTAGCGGTCGATGGCGATGGCCGTGAGAGACAGCACCGACACGAAGACGGTGGCAGCCTGCAGCAGGGTGACAAAGTGGCACATGAACATGCCGAAGAGCCAGCCCCGCTCCTCGAAGGCGTAGGACACGGTGAGGGGGACGCAGGCCAGGCACATGATGAAGTCGGCCGCCGCCAGGTTCCCGATCAGGAAGTTGGTGGTGCAGTGCAGCTTCTTGGTGAGGGCGATGAGGAGGATGAGGAAGAGGTTCCCGATGCATGCCACCACCACCAGCGTGGCGTAGAGTGGGATGAAGAGCGGCTTCAGCTCCAGGAGCAGGTCCAGGCCGGTGAAGATCAGGGCTGAGTCGTTGTGCCAGGAGTCATTGGGCAGCTGAGCCATGGGAACCCCTGTGGCTGATGCAGCTTCTCCACAACTCAGAGTCAAATACAGATGAGCCTCTGAGCTCTGGAGGGGACACAAATACATTTTGGTTGAACTTCTGGGCAGAAGGACCTGTCCTGAGTCTTGGCCCTTTGCACAGCCCTGTGCTGAGGCACTGGCTGGTTTAAATGACTTGCTTAAGAGTGAAGATGCCCTGTGACAGACAGTGGAGCTCCGGTATGGAGGAGAGTTGGAAAGCTGGCTGTGAAATAGTCAAGCAGCCAGCACAGATCTGTGGGGATCTGCCAGCTTGGGGCAGCAGGACCCAAAAATCAGCTTGAGAAACCTCCCACACCTGGGAGCTGTGCTGACTTAAGGCAGAAAAAAAGGACACTCCTGCATTTCTTGCTTTTTATTTTTCCCAGTTAATTCCACCCTGACCCACCAGCCCCATGCCACCTGGCTGGGATGGGAAAGGAGCATCCTTTCCATCCCCAGCACTCCTGTGTCTCTCCCACCCCAGCCCATCCCACCAGGTTCTTTTATCCCCTTGGTTATATCTTCATCACCCATGGAGCTTTGGCTTCTCCTGTCTTTCCCTGTGGCAGCTGTGTTGTGAGGGAGGGAAAGAGGGAGAGCCTGGCTCCCTGAGCACCTCCACAAACCCACTCAGAGTAGCACAGGGGAAAATGTATTCCAACAGAAAATGTATGGAAATTAGAAGTTCCCCTCCAGGACGCTCCTTTCAAGCCCCACACTCTCAAAATTATTGTTTGATCCCCCTTACCAGGATCTGGACAGTCTTTTCCCCCCAGTGGAGAGTCAAATCAGCATTAATTAAGAAACTCTTGTAATTAACCGAGGGATATTGAGGTTTTCTATATCCCAGCTGCAACCACAGGGCGCACGCTGTGATACCACATCTCCAGGTCCCTGCGCCCTGCCTGGGGCAGGAGCACAAAATCCATCAGGAAACTTGCAGCTGAGGAGCCAAAATGCTCATTAACTTACAGAATGCAAATTCTGAAGCTCAATTAAATTCTCTAATTCTGCTTCGTGTACCCACGAGAGTCAAACCAGCCCTTCTGTGCATCGCCGGGGTCCTGCTCCCTCTCCAATGAATGCTGAACCCCGCGGCTCTGGCTGGGGTTTTGGGGGTCCAGGGTGTGGCTGCAGGACCCCCTGTCTCGGTCCGGAGCTCTCTTACCTGCCGAGGGGTCCGGGGTGCTCAGGGTCGGGAGCCGCCCGCTGCCCGCCGATGTTCCCGTGAGGATGAGGAGGAGCGCTCCCTTCGCAGGGTGTTCACCGGGAAGCTCCGGCACAGCCGATCGCAGCCGGGTTTTTGTGGTGTGGGGCTTTTGTCGTCTTGCTTTGTTTTTATTGTTGTTTCCCCCCCCCCCCCCCCCCCCGCTGCCTGAGCCTTTCAGTCCCGGAGGAACAGGACGTTCCCACCCACGGCGCTCGGTCTTCCACGTACCCGGGGGGACGCGCACATCCCACCGCCCCGCACCGCAGGTGGAGCCGCATCCCGCCCCCGGCCCGGCGGGGAGCACCGGGGGGCTGCGGGGAGCCCCTCCCTCGCCCTCGGGGCCGGATCCAGGGACATTCTCCCGGTAGGGAAGGGGAGGAAGGCGCGGAGAGGACGGGGCGGGCGGGCACAGGGACCGCGCGGAGCTCCCGGAGTCGGTAGCGCCCGCCCCGTCGGGGGGTCCCGGCCCGGGAGCGAGGAAAGAGGGGGGGAAAGTGGGGTGAGGGAAGAGTGGGGTGAGGGTGACCCAGCCGTAGGGTGATGGGCACCCAGCCCCGGGGTGCTGGTGGCCCAGCTGGGGGAGCAAGTGTAGGATGGGGTGAGGGCGGTCCAGCCATGGCGAATTGACCCAAATGAGAAAGGGTACCAGGGTCAGTCTTATTTAAATAAGGGAAAATGATAAAAAATTATCATCCACCGGAATTTTGGGGGGATAAGAGGAATGGAAATTTGCAGAGCAGTCACAGAAGCTCTGGAAAATTGAGAGTTTTGGCGCAAGACAGTGATTAATTCACCCCAATCTGATGGAGCTGGGCTGGTTATTAAAAGTGGCTGAGCCGATCAAGAGGAGAGTGCTCACCCCTGCTGGATAATCAGCAGGAAGAGAATAATCTTTGTCTCCATATCAGTGCCTGACGAGAGCTGCTGTTAATTTTAAAGAGCAGAACAATCAGATTAGGAGAGCCAGAGGCAGGTTTGAGAGGAGAGCTGTGCTTTGGAGCTGACAGCAGGATGAGGAGTCCATCCCAAGACAGGCACAGGTTCCATCCCCACCTGGATGCGCCATGGCCAGGGTGACCCGGCTGCAGCACTGGGAGCTCTTCCCTCTGTACAGGCTCATGCTGGGAAAACCTTCTTTGACATCATCTTTGCTGCTTTCAGAGCCTGCAGAATAAATCACTCTTATTCCCAGAGCTCATATTGCCCTGCCCCAGGTCCTGGCTCAGGGGTACAAGGGTGGGTTTGAAAGCTGCAGCCCACCCTGATGGTTGATCTGGAGGCCCCTCCTGTGGCATCCTGGTGTCCCTCCCATTCCAAACAGATGATGGACAGGAATCAGTTTGCTGTGATTTTTATTCTTTTCCATGTCACCAGGGTGGTTTTTAGAAATAACCAGAGATCCCCAAGATCCTGTCAGTTCTAAAGGAGGATGGGATATTTAATGGCCATAAGCTGAAGGAGGGAAGGTTTGGAGTGGATATTGGGAAAAAATCCTTCCCTGTGAGGTTGCTGAGGTCCTGGCACAGGGTACCCAGAGAAGCTGTGGCTGCCTCATCTTTGGCAGTGTCCAAGGTCAGGTTGGATAGGGCTTGGAGCAACCTGGCATAGTGGAAGTTGTCCCTGCCCACAGTACAGGCTGGAACTGGATGAGCTTTGAGCTCTCTTCCAACCCAAACTATCCTGGAATTCTGTGATTCTCAGCAGCACCACACAGTGCTGCCAGCTCATGCTTCTGTGGGATCAATTCCTTTAGTCCAAGCTTGTGGAGAAGCACATTTTTTCCTGTTTGGTGGGTGGGAGCCTTTCCTTGCTGCCCAAAGTGCTCTGTCAGCCCTGCCCTCTCCTGCTCTGACAAGGCAGCAGGTGGATTGTGTTAGATACTTTATTCTGGCCCATTATGAAAGCCAAACCCCTGCCAGGCTGGGGCTGCATTAGCACATGGGCTCTCCACTCTGTACCTCTCCAGGAGTACCAGAAAGGCTGTTTCACACAGAGAAAAAGGTAAAATATTATCTTTAAAAGGTACAAAGGGGAGGGGGGTTGCTGTTTCCTTTGTGATTTACTCATTTATCCTGCCTGAAAGTCACTCCCTGTATCTGCCTGTACCTCACAGTCTGGGCCTGATGCTGCCAGGCACTGCAGCTGCAGATCTGCCTGTGCCTCAGAGGATGGACCCTTTTTCAGTCCCTGAGATGTCACTGATGTCTCCTCTGGGTAAAATGTTACAAACAGGCTGCCCAGGGCAAGAGTAGAGTCCCCAGCCCTGGAGGGATTTAAAAGCTGTGTGGCACTTGGGGACATGGGTGGGCTCAGCTGTGCTGGGCTTGGATTCAATGATCCCAGAGGGTTTTTCCAGCCTCAGCAAGTCTCCCTCTGTGGGAGTTATTTCCACACACAGCAAGACTGGTGCTGCTGTAGGAGCAAAACTCACCCCTAGTGAGGCTGCAGCTTTTACCAGCAAGAGTTGGTTTGGTGGAGAGGAGCTCAGCCTGTTTTTTCCCAAAATAAACCCCAATATTGGGAGGTAAAACCCTTGCTACTCAAATCGTGTGCCATCACCAAGTGCAGTGACACTGCTTGGACACATTGCACTCCTATTCACAGTTTCAGTGATTTTGTAAGGAAGTTTTAAAGGTTTTTTGGTTTGTTTGGTTTTTTTTTTTGTTTTTTTTTTTTTTTTATGGTGATTTAAGTATAGACCCACCCCAAGTTTGTACTCTTGGTTATAATTTATTATATGTAATTATATTTACGTAGCTATATTTATTATATTAGGGAGGGAGAAAAAGGTTAACTCCACATAAAGGATTAATTTAAGGAAATTATTGCTCAACCTTTGCAGTTATCAGTTGGATTTTATTTTGCCCCACATGTTTCCATAGAACAGGTCACAGAATCTTGAAATGGTTATTATTTTTACAAGTGAAATGCTAAGAGCTGTTCCCTCAGGTCCCTTCTCCAAAGGAAATGCTTGGTGATGTGGATGTGGAATAATTTCAGCTCAGTTCTTTTGGGTATATTTCTTCCTCAAATATGTTTAAGAACCGATAAGATAATATAAAGCATCCCCACAGTGCTTACTACCCATAAGAAGAATTTTATTGACTGGGAAATAGGCTGGGGACAGAGAAATTGCCGCTTTCTGTCTCTGCACAAACCATTTCTGGGAACAGCTCAGAATTCTGCATCTTTGTCACAGCTTTGTAACATAAGGTGAGAGAGATCGGCACAAGGACACAGGCTTAATAAAGGTCAGTTAAAGGATAAATTAAAAGGGACATTTAATGACCAAACCAGCAAGACATGAGGCTTGCAAGCTGTGCATCACTGGCACTCAGATGATTCACCCCATTCCTCAAGGTTTAAAAAACAAGGGATTGTTTTAATGGAGAATTCTGAGTGTGGGAGGAGAACTCTTCTGGGAGGTGAGTCTGGGGTGGGAGTTACACCAGGAAAGCTGATGGTGGGAACAATCTCGGAGTTGTGACCTGGTGACTGAGAGAGCAGCGCCTCTATTTGGGTACAGAGACAGGAAACTGGGAGGCTCTAGCAAAAATTTGCTCCTAAAAAAGTATTTTCAAACAGATGCATAAATGAACATACATGAATACAGTGAGGATTAACTCTTAGAACCGTATTTCCCATAAGAAGCTCTGACAGACCGTGCTGCTTCCCTCTACCGACCTCCAGTGTTGGTGCCGAGGCAGAACACATAGATCAGTGAAAAATCAGCACAAAATCACAGATTCTTGGATTAGTAAAAGGGAATAACCCTTTGAAGAGTTAAACAGGGTGAAAAAAACAATTAAATACTAAATATATTTCAAGTCAG